GCAGCCCCTCTCAGACTGCTTCCTCTGTGTGTGAACTCCATCCACCCTCTAGACCTGGGGTTGGCTACCATGGCACTCCAGCTGTGGAAAAACTACAAATACCATCAAGCATTGCAAGACTGCCAGCCACAGGCATGACTCCAAGAGGCAGAAGCATGATGGGATTAGTAATTTAACCACACTTGGAATGCTGAGGTTTCCTACCTCTGCTCTAGACATTGCACACCGTGCAGATGTATCCATCAGCCGGGGGGTACCTACCATAATTGCTGCCTTGGGCAGCTGGTGGTCATTTTCCATATGGTGCTGCAGCACTGGTGGTGGGGAGTGTTGAGGGGGGTCCTACTGGTGCACTGTCCAGCACAGGCTGGCCTCCTACCTAGGGAGAGGATTGCCAGGAGCTAGGTGGCACACCAGCCAGAGGGTCCCACTTAGCTCCTGGCAGCCAGTGATGTCAGTAGTTGCCAGGAGCTGGGCAGGATGCCAGCCAGAGCATCCCAGGTTGCGTCAAGCTGGACTCGTGATCCAAAGAGATGCCATCTGAGGCAACAGCCTAAGGCCTCATTATAGGGACGGTGCTGCCAGCAACAACCTTTTTCACCGTGCAGTTTCTTCATTATAAACCTCTCATCTGTTGGGAATCTGATTTATAACAGTCGGTGCAGACCAAAAGACAAAGCCTTTAAATCTTTATCAAATGTAAATTTGAGTAACTTATTTCTTAAATCCGAGCAGAATTTTAAGCTTCATTACAGACATTTCCCATGTACAATATTTTTGCATATGACGCATCTGTTCAGCAACAGATGTAGACAAAAATAAAAGAAACTGTTTTACTTGAAGCAGTTTATTTATAAATTCAAAAAGGTTATAAAACAAAACCTGTTTCCAGCATATCATAGATGAGACAAGGGGGGAGACTGACAGATGCTCTAATGCTCAGGAACAAAGAATAAAAAAAAGGGACATAAATGGTAGTCCGTAGATTTTGCCCTTTGACCACAGACAGACTACTTACTGACACATGTGTTTACTCCCCAAGAAAACCGAAATAGCACCAATGGCCTGTGTTGAAATAACTGCTGCTAGGATATTGCAGGCGGCAAGTGTTGGACAATAATAATTGCTACATTCAGATGATCACACAAGAGTTGACCAAGGGATACAAATATATATTTGTGAAATTCTGTGAAAGAACTATGGGGATACATTTTCTTAAACGGTCTGCTGGAAGCCTGGTCTGACCTAGGAAACGATCCATTCATTCTCCCATTGCTGTAGGAAATCAAAAACATTTATCAGTGAGTCGAGTTGCCTAATCCAGCCAGGTCCCTTCTCACGGGGCTCAACATTTTACATTGGTGGCATTTAGAATCTGTCCCTGAGCAAACAAGAGTGGCAAGCCTCAGCTGGAAGCTTCCTCTCTCTCCCAAGGGTGCATGCTAGTTACTGTGCAGGCATAGTTTTCAGGGAACACAAATGGGTTCAGCCTCCCTGCCTGGAATTAGAGGGCAAATAAGTATCCAAAGCTTTGTATGAGGTTTTGCGCACACAGCTTTGACTATGTGAAGGTGATATAACAATGGACATTGTCTGTCTACATTTTCTATGTAATGGAAAGGAACCCCGTCATGGGAAAGCCGTCATTGGCAATAAAAGGCTTACAGTACTTGAAAGCTGAACTTGGGGCACAAAAAAAAAACAACTTAAAAACTTTGATTCCTCAATACCTACATAGGATATAAATTGCACTTTGTGTGCACCAATTGCCTGTGGACAAATGACAGGAGACCAGTAACCCTGCACAAAAAGAGCTGCAGTGACCGGTCCTTTACAGGAAGCTCCTGCACAGAGGCAAAGATTCACACTGTATTACTGTACCTATTTGGAATACACAAAATGTCACCAAGATTCAAGGAAATTCACATGGATCTTGGTTTTACAATGTTTGCTTATTCCAGAGTTCAGCTTTAAGTTTAAGTCCAGAATGTTTTTGGGATTTAGAGCGAGTATAAGTTAGAACCCCTGTCAATACAAAGCTAACAGAGGTTCTTGCTCTATTCTACAAAAATGAAACCTTCCTGTCCTGCCCTCACTTCCTGTCTTGTGAAACCATTGTCAACAAGACACCAAGTGTACATTAGAAAGGGTTATTGTGAGTGTGTGAAGGGATCGTGCAAAGGTTGCAGGGAGAGATGGGGCGAGAGTTTCGGGGAGAGATGGCGTGAGGGGCAAGGGATGACATGAAGGTGCGTGCGGGGCAAGGGATGGTACAAAAAAGTGTTAGGGAGGGATAGTGTGAATGTGATGGGAGGGAGAGCTCAAGGGTGTCAGGGAGGGATAGTATGATGGAGATGGGGAGGATCAGTGTGGGGTAAATAGGAGAGTTAGTGTTAGGGGATGCAGAACCTGAGGGTAAGAGACTATTACCAACAATAGGAGCCATTTACTGATAACTTCCCACAGGAGGCAGATCAGGAAAGTCTTAAGGTGCCCATACACCTTACAAGTATCTGCAGATTTTCTGTGGTCAGATGGAAAAAGTGCAACAGATTGGCCCAGGTGGAGATTACTCCATCCACACAGTTTAGCGTAGATGGGAGGAATCTGTTGCACCTTTTCCATCTGACAAGAGAAAATCTGCAGATAATTGTAAGGTGTATGGCCAGCTTTAGAAACATCAAATGCCCAGATCTGCATACTTATTCTGTACTAGCAACTCAGAGTACTGAAGCAAGAGGACAGCCAAGTGACTAGCATTAGAAGAATGAGGAGTCCGCAGAGCAAGCACCAGGTTTGTCTTATGCAGATTTCCTGTAAGTCATAGGCAGCCCATAAACATTCAGACCTTGGCTTAATGCGTCTACTTAAAAAGCAGTTCAAAGAAAAATCTAGAACTGGTTTGGTTTTCAGTAGTAACCAGATTCATTCTGTCCTTTGAAGAATTAATGTAAGAAGAGTGTAGTCGATTGGCATTACCAGGCTTCTGTTCAGCACTTTCATAAATGAGGCCATATTATAAAAAACACACACACAAAAAAAAAGACTAACAGTTCACTTTTTGAAGCCAAACACCAGGTTAGTCTCTTCTATAATAATTTGCACCATTTATGTCCCTTTAGAAGAAGAAAGTGGTGGATGAGAGATGGACAAGAAAGGGCTGAAAGGTTTCCTACATAAAAGTGTCAGAGGTAGAGCAAGGGAATGAGGTAGAGAAAAGAAGGAAAAAAAAAAGGTCTATGGGCTGGGTCAGGGAGTTTTAAGGTGGTCACGTATACCATGTAGACCACCATATTGTGAGTTAGAGCAATAATTTGACCCATGAGCCCCCCGGAAAAATATTAACCCTACAGCAGACCCATAGAGGTCACCCAGATAGGTTTTCTGCATATCCTAGAGATCCTGCATATCCTAGAGATCCTGCTCTAACTCATAACCACCGGCCATGGTTATATGTGCTTGAAACACTGTCACTGTTCTACACCATCCTTACAGGTCAACTCCACCAAAAACATATTACACCTGGGGCATGGCGCTCATGCGTGCCTGGCATACTTGGTATGCAGTTTATTGGCTTTTGAAATCATGGAGCTGGTTTCTGGAGAGACTCCACAGGTGACACTTTATTAAAGCACTTTATCTCCACCCCTTCCAATATGGCTACCATGACAGCTCCACTTGGCTGAAACCAGACTCTCGAATTTGTATATTCTACATTACAAAAAATTCCCACACCAGCACTGGTCTTACAATGACCCCAGCATTCAGGCAGACCTGGCAACTGATTTGGATATATCTGGGCTCTAGAGTCCCTGAGAGGCAGAAGTAAATGCTTGATTTAAGGTGTAACGGTCATTGATTTTTAGCCTGCAAATTAATATTAGAGCTGCTTATTAATAGACAGCACAAACAATGCCCTCGACTTCCCAGGCCTGAATTGTGATAGCCAAGCTCCCTTTACCTAAGCACTCAAAAAGGCTGCTTTTGTATAGTTGGCGGAGGGGTTGCTGAATCTATCAGAATTTAGGAACAGAGAGCCCTGGTTCAATAGATCCCTGACCATAAGCTAAAATCACTTAGATAGAAGTAAAGGGTACAATAGTACAGTTTCAGTGCTGGAAACGCCACGTTTTAGTGCTATTTGGCCAATAAAAATCCATGATGGGTTCACTTGAACTTGCCCCAATACCAACAGACAAGGGTGGAGTTTACCTAGAACATACAATTCCAACATTCTGCTAAATTTGACATGGTAACACAAGGCAGTAAACGGTCGACTTGATAAATAGTAACCATTTTGTTATATTATGTCTGTGCAGGCTTTAAAGTATAAACTCAAGTCAGATATTCAAATGTATACTTCTCAGCCATTGGGGTCATTCTACAGGTGGATAGCACAGCACAGCTGCCCCCATCTACATTACAAGCATAACCTGAGTACTGGATTTCCGATGGTGCACATTTTATACTGGAGCCCTTAATATTGATATGACACACCATGTAACTGCTAGGCTTCCAGCACTGCCTGGTTATATAATGGTGTTACCAGCCATCAACGGTATTTGAATTAAAAAGAGAATCTGTCATTTTGCCTTTAAGGTCAAAAATGTGACAGGTTCTCCTCTTAGATTTCTCTGCAAAGACATAAAAAATGTCAAACTTAGCAAAGCGGTGAGATGAACAGAAGGAGACAATGTTGATTGGTGGTGGGGGGTATGCAAAGAGACAAAATGATATAATAGCACCAGAAAGGTTTGCAGTCAAGCATCATTATTAGTTCCCCTTAAATAGAACATATGGTTAGCAAGATAGTCTGTGCCGCAGACACAGCGGAAAGATATGAAAGGCGATGAGAACCAGACAGATAAAATGACAAAATATTGCATTTCCTAGTAAATGGTATGTTTGTGCGCCATCTAGTGGCCATATTGTATATGACAGCGACATTCAATAAACTGGTTATGACAAACATTTTACCTAAAACTTCCATTCTCTCTTTAAATGCAGTTCGAATACAGCGCTTGATAACTGGATATAGTTATCAGAACCAAGCCAAAAACCTGCATTGTTTCAGCTATTATAAGAAAAACAAATGATCTCAAACAACTACTCGAGTTTACTGGCAGCCCCAGACATTCAGACAGGTCCTAGAGATATGTACATACAAAGTGTTAGAGGTATCCAATCAAATTAGGATCAAGAAAAAAAAAAAAGTGCGTTTCCTATAAGAACTAAAACTGATTCTCAGTTTTGGAAAAAACACACGGAACCTCATTGGCTTCTGTGGGAAACCTCATTTTCCTATACCTCCATTGTTCTAGAAAACCTATGTGCTACAGTGCTATGTGTTAGTGTGGATGATGAAAGGTAAACCCTGTATGTTGAAATGGATGTAAAGAGATAAATGGGAGGCTATGAACAGGTAGGCTGCCTCTAAGCCAACCACCTTGTGCCAGCGTGGTGTGGTCGGGTGCATAGCAAGAAGTCAAATCTCCAGCTTGCGGTTTATCAATATGGAGCAGGCGGTTAGGCAGCCTCCTAATTTGGACACTTCTGTGCAGGATGCCGGGATCAGGGTGTAATCAGTCAGTTTCTGGAAGACCTGGAGAGGAAAAAAAAAAAGAAGAAGTTTAAAAAAAAAAAACAACCCAACAGAAAAAAAAAAAGCTGCTAGTGCTGCTCTCTGCTAGAGATGTCACTTGTATGTCTGTAACACTGACCCCCTTTCTTCAATACTTTGATCCACTCAACCAGAATGCAGATAAGGACTGACCTTAACACCCCCCCTCCCCCCAATTTTCCAGATCTTTTGCATGTTCAATGTAAGGGTTTGTTTACACCATTTCTGTTTCATTTTTCTGCACACTACTGCACATGTATGATGTGAACAGGCACATAGGCAGACATCCCAACTCTCCCGGACGCTCCGGGAGTCTCCCGCTATTAGATAGCGGCTCCTGGGCACCCGGAAGAGAAAACACTGCCTCCTGGAAAGGTTTTCTATGCTCGATCGAGCAGAGTAAAAAACTTTCCCAGCGATCGTTTTTTTTTTTTCTTTTCTGACATCGGGAGCCGCGGCCCGCGTCAGTCAGAAACAAAAATAGAAAAAGGCATAGGAATGCATAGCTAGATTCCTATTGCACTTTGCAATAGCCAATAGCAAACTAGCTGATGCACCCGCCCACTGCTGCTGCCAATCAGCGGAGGGGGACCTGAAGTTTTCTATCAGGTCCTCTTCTGGTGATTGAAAGCAACTGTTCACACAATACATTAACACAATGCAACATTGTGACTAAGTAATGCAATCTCCTGCAGATTTTATATATAGTTTAAACATATTAGGTTTATTTATAAAACCAAGTTCCTGAAGAAAGAACATTTTCTATACTCCCCAGCGCCATAAAAAAATATTATTTCCACTTGAGTGCAACCAAAAGAAATCAGATGCGTGCTCTGCTTTACAAAATGGTATCAATTTCAGGAAAAGGATTCTGAGAGTTTAACAAAAGGAGACCGGAGGATATTCTACATCAGCCGCAGATGTAGAATCAGTATTGTGTCTCACCTGGACACTGTTGGGGTATTCCTCAGCACTACGGTGCACCAAGACGTTGGATTTAGGTCCCACGCGGGCGTAGATACAATTGGCAGCGGGATCATCGGGCACAGTCAACGTCTCATAATGATGGTCTGTAAGCTGCTCCATCATCTGCAAAACAAACAAACATTCAAAACACAGGAATATTTTATTGTAAAGAAATTGGTATAATTCTGCAAAGCCAGATCGATCAACACAAAAATCCTCAAAATGGTATGAAAGTCAATGAGGACCACTTGAAAATAAAAAGGTCTATAACAAGGGTGCGGTCAGACTTAGTGACATTAAACCCTCAGATTTTTTAACATAAAATACTGTAATGTGTGCCTTACTGTAATCCATGGTTGTTTCCCTTCTCTTTGCTGCTCTTCCTTTTAAATTTGTATCTCTTCTCATGCTGGGCAGAACTTCTGTTTTGCAGCAGACTGCCTTGTCTCTGAAAGGGATACATGTTGTCTGTGTGTACGTTGGCAACCTGAGCCAGCACTACAGGAAGAGGCACTCAGCTGCAAAGGGAAGTTCTCCCCAAGCATGAGAAGACATGAGGATTTAAAAAGGAAGAGCAGCAAAGAGGAGGGAAACTACCATGGATTACAGTAAGGCACACATTACAGTATTGGTTTATGTTAAAAAAATCTGAGGGTTTAATGTCACTTTAAGAAGGAATTGAAAATGCTATAGTACATCAGGGAAAGTGAATTTCCCATACAGCCATCCCATAGAAGAAAATGACTGCCATTTAGCTGCCATCTATTACCAGACATGGAATGGCAATAAAAACAGTCACATAAAATGTCAAAACATTCCAATGTGCATTTTTCCCTTTGCATCGATTTTTGTGAATCTAGACTCCACAAAATGTAACTTTTTAAAGCTACATTGGCCCTTTAAGTTTTCCAAGAGTTTTATTACAGGTATTCACATAAAGGAGACTGATTGCAGAGTAACAGACCTCAGCTCATTAACTTCTACAGTAGAGCTGTTTGATGTCAGAGTCCTTATCTAGGATCGGCCAACATGTTAAGACTACTTTGGGAAGTTCGGTCATAGATGCCTATTCGGTTATGGGTCTATGGTAGCATCCAAACTGGTCCATCACAGAATAGTTACCCACAGATAAGGGATGACCCTTGAAAAAGTACTCTGGTCTCATACAATTGGTGAGAGGAGGACTTTAAAATCTCTGGGTGCCAAGCTGTTATTTTACCTTTAGTGCTTTCTTTGCGCAGTCGCTGCTTCCAATAACAAGGGTATCTGGACCGGCCATGCTGCAGAAACTTTTTAGATGCAAGTCTCCAGAAACTGGGACAACAGAAACTGCATAATCCTAGGGGAAAAAAAATACAAATCTAAAATGTTAATAGACATATATTGACTTAGGAAAGAGCTATAGGGAGTTACAATGTAATGGATGGTTCAATAAAAAAATCGATCCTGACCAAACTGCACTTTAAAGTAGATCAGGCAAACTGCTAAATACACAACTGAAATACATACAAGGGTTTGCAATTATGGGAAGCCACTCTTGAAGTGGCATCAAACCCCATGTATACTGTGTGGGCTATGTAAAGCATACTGGCACACTTCACTCACCAGTGAGCACTTCTCCAGCGCTGTGCAATGCAGACTGTTCCTTGATGCTGCCGCCATCTCCACTGCTGCCACTTCCAGGTTGCCAGGAATTCTCTACCAGCATTGGGAGGCAGTAGCATATTCACAGTATGGCACATGCTCAGGGTGGCACTCTGTGGAAAGCTTGCCAGCAGTATCTCCACTTCTCCCACTCCCCGCCATTGGTGGTGGGTATGGAAGAACCGCCAGACATACTAGAAAGCAGTGACACGCTTCCCCAGCATTTACGGGGGTGTTGTGCCTTCAGCCTCCAGACCTGCTCCCAGTGCTTGGCCTACCATCTTCTGCCCAGCTGCCCGCCATGCTGAGAAAGTGGACTCTGATGGGGCTCCTGATGCCGAGGCTCAGCAGCTCTAGTGTGTATCTGTTTTAGTTTTCATGTAGTGCCATATTTTTTTTTGATTTGATATTATGCTAAAATTATCTAAAGCATGTGTGGCAGATCTTTAGACAGGGATGCAATTTCAGTGCTCGCCATAGGCGCAATTTTCTATAGACACGCCCTTTCTGGAGGCTACTGATGCTACTACTGCATACATGTTTCATCGCCCACAGCAACTGGTCTAATTAGCTGAGTGCATTCTGCATGGCACATACTAGAGGAATAAAGAAGAATTTTACCGGCAAGAGCCTTGGCATATCTTCTGCCAAAGATCCCCGACCTCCCAGCATTTTTTATTTTTAGAGGTTAAGTCTAGATGGGTGAAGTTTCCCTACACTCGAATCATTACCATACATACACAAGCCCATAATTGTATTTGCAAAAGCAAGGAATGTCAGTCTCGATTCAGCCTTAAATCGCTTCCAGACTCAACGCCCTGTTCATTGGGGACAATAATGCCGACTTATTGTCCAGTAAGCAGTGTACTTGCCTTGTCACCCTGCCCCATGCTAGCTAGGGAATTATGAGGGGGGAGGTCCCATCTCAAACTAGCTAATGTTTACTCCATTAGCCACACAAAGAAAAAAACAAAAACAGAATACCTGGTATGACTTTGCCACCATCTCTGCTCCTCTTAGATTCGTCCATTTGGACAAGCCTACAAAGATCTCTGAACCTGGAATACAGCAAATGTAATAGCAGATGAGAAACTAACAAACTCAATAACAGCAAAAAGAAATCAGTGTGATTGTACAGAAAGATTTACAGGAGGTTATACAAAATGACAATTCTAACATTCTAGGCACCAATATGAATCCTGACCATTTATAGGAATGCCTGATAAAAACCATGATCGCCAAGCTAATTTTCCCCATATATACATTTCACATATATACATTTCACTTACACTACAGAACCATTACAATCTAAAAAGAAGACTAAGACAAGAGACTTTCAAAGCACCAAAAAGGTTATGCACATGCAATGCAGCTCACTGCAATGTGCACTGCATTGCCAATAATTTTTTTTTTTTTGTCCCAGAAAATGGTCACCAGCAAATAAAGTCACCATCACTCCAAATATATGGCTATTGTAAAGAGTCACAAAAACATAAAAAACAAAACAAAAAAACACGACATTTAGGGTCCGCACAGGGTCGTCGTCGAGGAGTCTCAGTGGTCACTAGGTCACTATGAGGAAGGCACCCTGCGATGCCCTGAAACATTGGTCTTTACAATAAATATGTAAAATGCATTTCGTTGAAGTGCTGGTGACTTTGCATCTTCTCGTTTGGTTTTGCACAGCACCATCCATAGTAATCACTTTGAGCACCCAATAAAAAGTACTGTGAAGAGTGTGCAGTTTTGTCCGTTCTGGTGCATTGCGAGTCAGAGACGATGAGTAGCTAAAGAAGAACTCTGGGTAGAAAAAAGTTGCCCTTGCAGGGGTTCAAAGCCGGTTTAGTCACTTGATCCTCAGTCTTGCAGCAGTCAGTGCTCACCTCTTTCTCCCTCCAGCTATGGAATGTCCCTCGGCATCCTTGATTCTAATGCAGATCAATGAACCTGCACAAGTTATGTCATCAGTTCTTAGCCCACCGGAGCACAGGGGAGAAGAGGCTGCGGGGAGCGGTGTAGCAGCCTGGAGGGAGCCAGTGGGTCCAAGGTTCAGGCGAGTATTACAAATTGATTTGAGTCTGCTTGACAAAAAGGAGCACTTAAACACTTGCAGTGCAGGGGTAAGTTTTTAGTCTTCCTTGAGTTTTTACGCATGTCAGCAGAACAGCGTGTTAGCGGTCGGCAGTTCCCATATTTGTATTCAGAGAGATTCCTTTAACTACAGCAACATAACATATTTTCACCAAGAAATACGCTTTCTCCATTAAAGACAACATGTTTGTGCAGGAGGAATGCTTCAGGCATTGAGGTAGAATATATGAAGTAATAACACTTGCATGCCTGCTATATGGACAGACATACATACATACATACATACATGCATACATCCCAGTTAACAGCAGGTATGGATTTCCATAATGTTCTGCAGAACATTAAAGTGACCCCGTCACCAAATACCAAAATTCTACTTTCAATCACAGAATGAATCATATACTGACATTACATGCGTCACTTTTCCTTTGCCGGCAGTGTGGCCAAAGAATTTGACCACTTCAGGAAGGGTCGATTTCCCTCCTCCGTGACGTCATAGTAGCTCCCAGGACAGGCTTGTGAGAACTAGCATGGAATCATGAATACAGAAAGAGAACTGCCAATTCCTTCGCTATAAAAAGCTGCACGCCGCTTTGTTTACAACTGCTCAGTGCGTCATTTACCATCTACTTCAATAACAGGACAAGTGTCTAGAGGGGGAGTGTTGTAATGGGGGCACTTGTTCCAGTAACGGCAGTCTAAGAATTTCCTTTACTTTGCATAGATTTTTATCTTGCTGATGTGTCTAATGAAGAGGAAGTAAAGGGAAATCTCCACACAATGGGACACATTTCTTGTATTACCCTTTAACCTTTCCTTCATCAAAAGGCATTAGCTATACTACAGATTGCCAAACATGTTACAGTCTGACTGTACAAGCAACCTTAGATCTACCAAAATATACAATATGAGGACCCACATAAACTATCCATCAGGCAGGCCATCGCAGTACATTATTGGTAGATCTAAAAAGAAGACTGTACAAATCAGATTACAATTTGTATGGTGAGCTTTAGGTCTCATTCACCCACCTGTAAAGAGGATGTCGCTGGCATCCAACATGGCGTTTTCATCCGTGATCTCACAGACTCTGAATTTCAGCTCCTCAAATAACTTCTGCAGGCCTTCTGTCTGAGAGGAAGAGAGAGGGGAGAGTAGAGTGAGGAGCAATTGAGAGGAGAGGATGATGGAACAGCTGACGGATTAGGAAGCCACCATGGGCTGCATACAATATCAGACGGGAGAAAAAAGGGAAACAGCTGAGATTATAACCAGAAAAAAAGGTGCAACTGTGATGGGGGGGAGGGCACAGACAAATCTCTACACTCTACAAGGGAAAAATAAATCAGATTTCCAAGCCCTCCTTCCTGGAAGGGAACAGCAGTCAAACTTAAAAAATAAGCAACTGTAGGCCCTTTTTTGGGTGGGTAGCATTACCATATACACATCAACATGCATTATTTTGTGCACTGCATTCAAAATTATTGGCACTGTTCCTGCATTACTGAGCTCGCCCACAACGCATAGGTGTGAAGACAGCCTCAGTGGCCATTCCCCTCTGCCCCTGACCTCCAGCACATTCATAATAGATCATACTTCCCCTAGAAACCTGCTCTGAGATCTATATTGTATGGCCTACCCAGCCTCTGTCTTGAAATGTTCAGAATTCTGTAGAGAAGTATGAACACACTGTGGCTTCAATTAGGTAAATATTGGGCAGCACTTGTGCCTTGCAGCAGTGGGGCCCTTGGTTGGAAGCCCACCCAGAACACTATTTGAACGTAATTTATATGTTCTCCTTATGCTTGCATAGGTCTCCTCCCATACTCCAAAAATGCATGCTGGTAGGTTGTTGGCTCCAGTCCGAATCGACCCTAGTGTTTGAGCGTGTATATATTCATGCGCGAGATAGGGACCTTAGATCGTAAGCTTCTCAAGCAGCCCCACTGCAAGGGTTTGTTTGCTCGGGGATGGGCTTCAACAGCCTCCTTCTATAAATGTGCTTTGGTGTTTTATACAAAATATCTGCTAATTGTCACGACATGTTGCTCTTTGCTGCACGGAATATGATAATTGATGACAGGGGTAAAGAAACAAAGATTCTTGACTGGCCCTCCCTCCCTTCCTCCACCCATAACACAAATCCTCTGTGTCCTGGGCTAAGAAACGTCATCTTCTCCTGCTTCTTCTCTGCTACAATCGACTCCCAATACAAAACCAGCATAGTGCCGATTCCAGATTTTGAAGGACGCACTTTGTCCTGGAAATGTCTTTGACTAAGCAATCTGTCCATCTATACTGCAAAACCTAAATTACCTGATATATAGCATTTTATCTGTTCAGTTCTCTGGTGGCTTTACACAATATTGTTTATTGAATAATAGAACTCAGAAAGCAAAATATGGAGAATACGCAGATTTAAGTTTGGTAAACAAGTAATCAGATGCAATAATATGTGGCCCTTCCGTTTATAAACAGAACTTTAGTGACTAAACATCTTAAAAAAGGGGAACTTCACCCTTATCTTCATATAAAAGCTGTTTAATACCTGGGCAAATCAGCAGGCCTCGGACAGCTATTAAATATCTAAGGCACATCTGGGCACATGACCTTAGCTTCAGGGTTTTCACCCTTAAAAGGTTGCATCTGTAAATCACTAATCTAGGCCCTAGGCCTGAGAACCTAGGGGTATGGGACGCTGTGGAGAATCGCCCCTCCTTTGAAGGTGTCCTTAAGTTACTGGCTGCTATGGAGTGTTACAGGCCTTGAGAAGCATAGCTGCAGTTCTCTCCCACAGGGATGGGGAGTGACCAATTCTGGGGAACAGAGGAACCTTCCAAGTGCTATCCTGCCTTAATGAGAAGGCTGAGCATACACTAGAACCTCAGTTACAAGGAGACAAATTTACAAGTTATGCTTTCAGTCAGTAAACCAATAAGAGAAAGGAGGGATGTAGAAAGACAGACCATGCAGAAGACTAAAGGACTGTGCTTTGATAACAAACAGGTATTCTGTTCCCCTTTAGCCTCCCTCCCTACTCCTCTTCATGCACATGTTAAAATTAAAATATCATAAAATTTACTCAAAGTGATCACCCTTAACATCTAATGAGAGTTGCACCTTCACAGGAACATGCCTAGGGACAAGGTTATTCTCATCTGGGGGTCCCAATTGTAATACACAAGACCCAGCTGGGTGGAGGCAGTCATTGTAGATATAGTTAAGTCTGATGGAGGCTCAAGATCTAGTTACCTACAGATGGGCACTGGTAGCGGACTGGAGACTACACTACTGGAAAACATTTAGTGATGACAATCTACAGATACTTCTAGATAATTGGCGGCTTATTTTTCTTTTATACCTTATTTTTCTCTTCTTCCCCATTCTCACAGTGACCATTTTTACCAAGGGCAGATTCCTATAGCTCCCTTTACTTCCTGGAACTCTGGCACATGTGACTAGGACATGTGACCATGCACATAATCTCAGGGGAGGAAAATGCCTTTCCCTGTGATGTAGCCCTCCCAGGATGCATCTCTTAGGCATAGGCTATATCACCAATGCCCAAGAGGACCAGGAAGTGGAACGATAATAAGTAAAAGAAAAACATGTTTATTTAACTAATGAATGCAAGAGGATGCCATATCAGCATACAGAGCTAAATCCTGATTGATTTTTAGTGAAAAGGGATAAAAGGTATCCGGCCCTAAACTCGTTTTAGCAACCCCGTCAGGTTTTTAATCGCCATCTACTCCCCACACTAGGGAGAATCACCCTCTTCATTTGCTCAGGTGACCGTTGTCACCAGGACAGAAAGTAAGGGGAACAGCCAATATTTTAAATTGTCAACAGAGCCGGTTATAGAGGGGAAATCTTCCAATGGTGACACTTGTTGCAGTGACAATTGTCCAAGAGAAGATGTTCCCATACTTGAGATGCTTGCACTTTTTTGCAGTTTCACTGCTCTGGTTCTATAGTAGGAATGGCTGGATGCAGAGTACTCTGCCTGAGATGATGGGGGTCCCAAAGGAAGGAAACTGAAATGATCATGCATCCACGAAAGGTGTGTGTGGGGGGGGTCATAAGTGCTTCCTTAGTGCCCGCGATCTAGTGCCATTCATGTCTCTGCTGGGAAGATAAACCCTTCTATTTTTTCCTGATGACCATTGTCATTGTGAAATTGTAGTCGGCACCAGAGCATGAATAAGAAGGGAAAGTCTTCCCATCGGGGCAATTATCCACAATGGGATTTCCCAAATTGTACAGAAATTACTTCTCACTTCCTGTGGTAGTGGTATCTACATGACAGGAAGTAAAAGGACAATCTCCCCAATAGATCCCTTCTATCCAAAATTAATACATTACAGATATGAAGACATAATTCAAATCAACTGAACTTGCTCAGTCAAAAAAAAACAAAACATAAAATGGCAATTCCCTGCAACAGGAGCCATGGCAATTCCCTGCAACAGGAGCCATTATACTCTCGGGTGACCTTAGCCTTCCACCTTTCCTCTGTTTAGGTGTGGCAGCCTATATTAGACTATTCAGCGTGTAACACTTCCAGGTGTTGCTATACAGTCTGATGGAAGCTGAAGAATACCTCTTCCATTTGCATTGAGCGACCATTTAGATGACTGACAATCGCTCTAAGTCAGAGGTGGTCAACCTCAGCATTCCCCTCTGTGGTGAAACTACAAATCCCACAAAGCATTGCAAGAATCAGCCACAGGTGTGACTCCCGGAAGCATTATGAGATTTGTAGTTTCACCACAGCTGAAGTGAGTGGTTGACTACCCCTGCGCTCAGTGAATCCACACATCAGCACAGTCTTGTGAACCTGTTGGTAGGTAAATCAGCTGCACGCATGACCAGAGGCAGAGCACCAAACTCACCTCTTTCCTCCTGGCAGGAATGGCCGGGCGAGTGATCAAAGCCGTATCAGCTATCACGACTGCCGTGTCACCAATCAGCTGGCCACGTGGAAGGTCCTCACAGCTGGGCAACTCCATCACTTGAAGGCCAAGTTTCTGTCTGAGGATGCCGGAGTAGACCCCGCTCTCACGCTGAGCCCTTGCCAGGTCCACTTTCCCATCTGCTTCCAGTGCCAGGGAGGCAGGGACCCCTCTTACCACTGCGTGGGTGTATCTGCCAATCATGTTTAAAGCGCCAGCAGGAGGGTAGAAAGTACAAGGCAACCTATTGGGAGAAATGCCACTTGTAGCCAGCAGATGGTGTCCTGGTGGGGGTCTCTTGTATGGTCCCTCTGTCCGTCAGTCTGCTATTGTCTTCTCCAGTCTCCAGCCTGGATAGATTCCTCTCTCTCCCACTTCCTTCCTGGCTTCACATCCTGCAAGAGAAGGAATGACAAGTATCCTCAACATACATATTCAATGTAAGCAATGACAAAGTAACAGTTTCATGGGAAATGGAGCAGATCTAAAAAGTGGCTTTACATTTGTCACTTTGACCCTCCACTCTGTGAGATTTAAAGTGAGATTGAAAGTAGTTACCACACACACACGCCACATACATACAAAATTCTAGAATCTCCCCAATCGTATTTTAACCAATTGCTACTCGTGGTGGTGAAAATTGATCATTGAAGGATCATACCTGGGATGATGGTAAAAGGACAGCCATGGCACTCAATAGAGCACATAGGGCATGTGCCCTGTGTGCCAGGGTCTAGCAACACCCCTGATGAGCAAGTCAACAATGGTAACTAGAATGGTCAACGTTAACATTTTCAGTGTCTGTTGGAAAGCATTAGAAATGACAAAATTAGTCCAGAGGTGGTCAAACTCCGGCCCTCCAGCTGTGGTGAAACTACAACTCCCATTATGCATCTGGGTCTGGGGGGGTCATTCCTGTAGCTGTGAGAATTCTGAAATGCCTCATGGCATCTGTAGAGTTTGTCCAACCCGGGATTAGACTGATGCCACCCTCTAAATCAGGTGCAGAAAACTCCAGCCCTCCCGCTGTGCTTTAACTACAAATCCTAAATCAGGCCTCTGGGAGTAATGCCTGTGTCTGTCGGTCTTGCAATGCCTCATGGGACTTGTAGTTCCACAACTGGAGCGCCAGAGTTTCCCACCTCTGCTCTAAAGTGCTTTTCATCTTTAAATGGGTTAAGAAAAAAAAGTAGAGCCTTACTGGTTTGGTGAACATTGCACTCCCTTTTCAGCCAATCAGGTTCCAGCTGTCATTTTGACATAAGATGATTGATTGGAAACAAAAATTAGGGAGCATGGGGGGGGGGAAGCGCAATGTATACAGTTTTCCCCTCTAACTCTTATTAGATATGAAGCCTCTTGTGTGGTCATATAGGAGGTGTCAGCAACCATCATGAGATCATCCCCGCACATCTGCAGCCCCCATATGCTGCGGCAGATGATTATTTGGTCCTAAAAGCATGTACGGTCCCCAGGGAGGTCACAGAGTAAACAGCATTAACTAAATGTAGTCAGGAGAGTCCAGATTAGTCTGTCAATTCAGCTTTTTAGGAATAGGGTTTGTGTCTGGAAGATTTGAGTGGAGGAAACGTAATGAACGCTGGCTTCCTGCCCAAGAATCGTTAATAAATGGTCTTTAAATGGTTTGTTTGCTGGAATCCCTTTTGTGACCCTAAGGGCCTGATAACTGAAAAATAAAAGCTGCGTGTCCCGCAGAAAATAGCTTTTCATGCCATCACTCCCTGAACTGGGGATTCTACAGTGTCAGGGTTTATGGCTTTCCTGCATATGGGTGGGCAGGCAGCTCAACTGCAGGGAAAGGGTAGAACTGTCAGGATCTAATTGCTGTCCCCATTAGGAAGATTCAACCTCTTATCATGAAATGGGGAGAACTCTCCAGTGGGGACACATTAAACAATTTAGAGAAGCAGATAACATCCAAAATTAATTATTGCTGCGAGTCTTCTGGCGACACCCACATCCCCCATTTCTTAAAAGCTTCCCAATGAGGTCACAGACAGGAGAAAAAAAAAAAAAAAAAGCGTAAACATTATCTAAACCAAAAGTGTAATATATTGCACCTTAAAATGGTCCTTCGATATGGTGGCTGCATTTGTTTTCTTCTGCCGCCACCCCTCCCCCCTTTTTATTGTAACCAGGTGATCCTGCCAACACACTTCCTGTCCTAGGGTGTCAACGCTCGCTCAATATACTGCATTTATGGAGCAGCAGCATTGTCACTCTAAGGGCCTCGCTCACATGGGCACAGGTCCATATACCAGCCTTATCCCCGCACCCAGAAGCCATCGGTGTTGCAGCCCATCTGAACAAATCAATGGCAGTCTGTACTTGACATTGGCTGTTGAGTGTATACATGTGTATTGGTATGAATGTTTGTCCCTGGCACAGACTGTCTGCGTCCAAGGGTGTACACCTGAACCTGTGTGGAAGCACATGCTTTGTGCAGCATTTTTCAGTGTGCACCTACATCCCGTCCTTGTTTTGTACTGGCGTGTTGCACAGGGCTGTCCCTACTGTATTTGCCACCTGAGGCGGTCATTCTGGGGTGTGGGGGGGTGTTCTGTCCCCAATTGGTGAATTGGTGAAGGGGGGGTTAGGGTCTGGTGCTCTTCCCGATATGCTGCTTTGGGGAGGGGGGATGCCGGAACGAGCCATCAGCAGTTTTGCCTGGTGTCCTGCTCAGCTCACTGGTTGGCAGAAGCTCGGCAGGAATCCAGCCAGAGCATCCCGCTCAGCTCCTGGCAACCAGTGACATCAGCGAGCCGCACCGAGTGTCACATGTCGCTCACAAGAGCCCTTAGAAACCTGGAACCCTGTGGCCCCCACCCAATGAGGCTGCCTCATTATAAAGGACACACACACTTGAAATAGCTGAATGTAAAACACAATGCAATAACATTGACAGAATGAAAACTAATAACTAGACGAGCTTCACATTTCTGCAAACCATTCCCAGAAATGCTGGGACTAGTTTCCCTCCTAACATGCTGCTAATTGCGACCAAAAGCAGTCAGAGCATGCTGGGTCTTTTAGTTCCCTCCATATGTGCAAAAAGTGTGACGCCATTTGCAGCCAGAAGCCATCGGTGCATGCAGGGGCTTGTAGTTCCCTTAATGTGTGTCGCCATTTGCGCCAAAAGATGTAAGAGTATGCTGGGGCTGTAGTTACCCTCCAAGTGTTGCTATTTACAGCCAAAAGATTTAAGAGCATGTTGGGGCTTGTAGTACCCTCCACATGTGCCGCTGTATGCAGCCAAAAGCTGTCAGAGCATGCTGGGGCTCTAGCCCCCCACACCCATGTGTGGCACTATTTGCAGCCAAAAGCCATGAGAGGATGCTGGAACTTATAGTTCCTGAAAAGCTGACGGACCAGAATTGCTAGGATAGCATTTTCCTGGTACAGAAGGGGTTAACCTATTCTTCTAAGCCTGTGCTGATAAAAACTTCGACATGGCACTGCTTTGTACCTGAAAGCCATGGAAAGCCAGCAATGGCATCAAAAGAGCCTGGGCAGAAAAGCTTACAATCTGCTCACAGGGCCCCATAGGATTCCAGGGTGATCAGGGCTCCCCCAATCAGTCCTTGGTGTATAGATCTTGGCCAGGAGGGTCAGATATTTGGGATTGGTGGTGGGCAGAAACACTGGTGTCCTTCAGTGACACAGGGTGGAGAGGACACAATGATGCCAGTGTGGAGGGAGCACATGCTGACAAGACAGGAGGAATGTGACAGGCTGCTGCAGGAAGGACAGGCAGGCAGCTGGGCGAGGCGGAGGAGCCAGGCCCAGACATAGGGAGACAATCCACTCACCACACAGGGAGGAGAGGGTCCAGGCACGTGATGGCTCCTTGTCCCTAAACCGCAGAACACTGGGGGTCATCCAGACCAGACCGTCCCTGCTGCCTCCCCCCTATCCCTCCCCTCTCTCTCCTCCCTCTCCATCCCTCCCTCCCTTCTAGCAGCTCCATGCTTCCTCTTCCTCCTACAGGATCTGCAAATCCTCAGACTGGGGGACCGCAGCCAATCCTAGGACATGGGATGCTCGCATCCTAATACAGAGGGTCCCCACACATCTCCGAATACACAGGGCGGAGGGTCTGCAGCCAATCCTAGGACATGCAATGCTTGAATCCTAAGACAGAGGGTCCCCACACATCTCCGAATACACAAGGCAGAGGGTCTGCAACCAATCCTAGGACATGCAATGCTTGCATCCTAAGACAGAGGGTCCCCACACCTCCGAATTCACAGGGCGGAGGGTCTGCAGCCAATGCCAGGAAATGGGATGCAAGACATGGAATGCAGAGGACAGATGGTCCCCACACCTCTGAATAGACAGGACAGAGGGTCTTCAGCCAATGCCAGGAGATGGGATGCTCGCCTCCTAATACAGAAGACAGTCCTCTCACCTCCAAAAAAACAGGGCGGAGGTTCCACAGCCATTCCTAGGACATGTGATGCGGGATATGGGATGCTTGACTCCTAAGAGGACAGAGGGTCCCCCAGACCTCCAGATACAAAGCACAGAGGTTCCCGCAGCCAATGCTAGACATGGAATGCTCGCCTCCTAATATAGGGGATACCCAGACCTTGGGATGCAGCTGGGAATGACCCCCCCCTCCCAAATACACAGAACAGAGGGTCCCTAGTGTATTTCTTAACACACAAGACAGAGGGTCCCCAGTGTACCCACTAATACAGTGGACACAGGGTCCCCCATGCACCCCCTTATGCACAGGACAAGGGTTTGCAGCCAATCCTGGAACATAGGATGCTCGCCTCCTAATACAGAAGGTTCCCACACCAGTGAATACACAGGATAGGGATTGCAGGATCTGCAGCTAATCATATGAAATGCAGCAGGGAAATCACATACCAGAGGGTCTCCCATGTACCCCCTGACACACACAGGACAGAGGAGGGTCTCCCATGTACCCCCTGACACACACAGGACAGAGGAGGGTCTCCCGTGTACCCCCTGACACACACAGGACAGAGGAGGGTCTCCCGTGTACCCCCTGACACACA